AATTATAAATTGATCGTGCAAAAAATAGCGTAAGCACCACGGTCAGTAGGTGCTTAACCGATTTCGGATAATATTGCAAACCTCGAGCTGCGCTCTCGGTTTGCAATTATTATCCTCAACCAGTAAAGTACACCTACTGACCTTAATACTTAATATACTATTCTTAAAATGGACGTTAAGCAGTGGTGTAGTTGTAAATGAAAAGGTGCCGGAACGGCGATCAAAGGTACTTTTTAGAGTTGTGCAGTTTAGCAATTTGTTAATACAACACGGTATAATCTGAGTAATCTGAGTGTAAATAAACCTTGGACCTTAGCTTTTCGATCATTTATTTTTTAAAAATGTACCGGAACGGCGTTCCGCTTACAAAAAAAGTGCCGGAACGTCGTTCCGCCCCGCTCCGGCCCCACTACACCACTGGTACCGACGTTCATTTATTGTCAAAAGATATTCACCGACGTTCATTTATTTTCAAAGATATCAAAAAACAATTTTGATTTTGATTTTTTCTCAGCTTTTTGATGGCCGGTTTATGACTTGTGGGTTTTGAGTAAATCACATCAACTTTCTTATTTCCTATGGACGCCATATTTGTTTTTTACGTCACTCGATAGACAAAAAAAATACAAAACCCATGATACTAAGACAATTAGTACCTACTTTATTTGAGAATCAACCTTGAATTTTTGCTTAGAAGTTTAGAATGCATTTTTTGTGGCAATAGTTCCATAGCTTGCTTGAAATTATTTTACATCTTGCATAGGCACCATCAACACGACCATGGATTTATTGCTATAAGAAATACATGTGTAAATTTCAAGGCAAAAATTCTAAATTTAACCAAGCATTTGGTATCGCCGGTTTTGTAATTTTTTTCTGTATCGAGTAAAAATCCAATATGGCGTCCATAAGAAATAATGTGTCTATACGAAACTCACAAGTCATAAATCATAATTAATCAGCATAAAATTCTGAATAATTTTGTCCATTTAAGGAAGGGGCCTTGTATCTCTGACGGTTTACGAGATCTCCATAATAAAAATGAAAAAAAAACTCACCCTGTGTGTATACAATTTCCAAAATACACATTTTTATTTATAAATTATTTATAGATTCGCCTACCTATCGGCCAAGTAAAAAATTGAGTCTGATAGAAAAAGTACGAATTGTTTTGGATTCTACGCACCAAAATTAATAAGAAAAAGTGTTTTCCCGAGAAATTTTGGTGCAGTCGATTTTTGGTAAAAAAGGAAGGTTATACACTGCCTTTTTTTGAGGCCGAAAAAAAAATTGTCTCAGATCGACCCGGAAAAAAATTTTTCTTATAGAATGTGGCCTGTAGAATCCATAATTTCAAACAGTTCCAAGATTGTGCTACTAGTTCAAAAGTTACGGCCCTTTGAATTTTTTCTCGAAATTGGTTTCTAGCCTACAACTTTTGATTGAGAAGTCTGATCGAAAAAGTACGAATTGTTTTGGATTCTACGCACCAAAATTAATAAGAAAAAGTGTTTTCCTGAGAAATTTTGGTGCAGTCGATTTTTGGAAAAAAGGAAGGTTATACACTGCCTTTTTTTGCCACGAAAAAAAAATTGTCTCAGATCGTCCCGGAAAAAAATTTGCTTATAGAACGTGGCCTGTAGAATCCATAATTTCAAACAGTTTCAAGATTGGGCTACTGGTTCAAAAGCTACAGCCCTGGTACCACCCCTATAAAATCATGGGGGTTCAAGAATTGCACCCTAATGGTTTAGTACTAAGATTCAATTTCGCTCATGGAAGGATACTGGAACTTTTATAACAGGATACTGTTCTCCTTGTTCTTCATGTGTCGGGAACAGTTAATAAACAAAACTGGTACTGGTCATCAGAAACCCCACGTGAATTGCATCAGAGGCCGTTACATTCTGATAAAGCGATGGTATGGTGATGTCCATGAACCTAGCAGAGCAAGGTCAGCAGAACACAATCAAACGTATTGTATAATTAGGTACTAATGAAGTGCCCTATTCCTGAATTAAAGAGTTTTTGGAAGACGGAGAATTAGTCTCGTTACGTGCTTGCTTCAGCAGGATTGGGCTACTTGCCATACTTCCCGAATTTCTGAAAAATGCCACACTTCCCTGGCTCACCCTGTACAATGTCTTCTATGCACTTAAGATACTAAACATAGTAAAATTATCGAAAAATGTTGGCAAGATTGTACAATGTCATACTAAGTAATTTCCTAGGTGTAAATGTCATTTGATGATGAGCTCAACTCAAAAGTACACTTCTAAAAACCCCTCGAGCAATAGCAAACGAGTATTATGAACCCCTACAGTTAGGCAAACCATACTACAACTGTTAAAGTAATCTGGTTCGATCCTTGAATGTTAGCACAGATTTGTAATTAATCTGTGATGTTAGACAATATTTTAACAACAATGTATAAATATAAATTCCGTTAGTTGAGATTACAATAAAAAGATGCGTAGACATCATAACAACTGGAGATGGATTTCAAAACAAATTCATGGCAAACTCATTCCTGGTTGACGATCATATTACCAAAAAGAACAAATCGAGCTCTAGTAATGGCTACACCGAATTACACGTATTGTAAATGGTACCATTTCTGTAGATAAGTTAGACTTGTGCTTGTGTCAAAAAATTGAAATTAAATATAGGTAGAGAACTAAGAGTGGTACAATTAGAAAATTGTGTTCTGTAGGACTGTGAGATTAAAGGATATTATTAATCAATTTTTCAGAAAGGCATAAAGCAACCGATGCATCATAAACTCTTGGCCTAATTTAGTAGTCATTTTTCGATGGATTCATAAACATATTCAAAAAATATCTAATTAAGCTTCTAAGATAGGCAAACAGCAACTCGCCTTGTTTATTCGGTTGCATATCGACAAGGGGTTAGTTTTGAAAAACCCTGTATAAGACATTTCGTGTAAGTTGGTAGCCATGACTTTTCAGGGCTATGGAATTCTAACCTCAAAAAAAAACAACAATAATTAATTATTAAACAATGTTAATAATTTAAATAAAATTATCAAAAAATGGCCTACAATTCCAATTCAGTAAACATATCCGTAGAAGCGCCCATTGAAAATCAAATACAAGAAATAACCTACGATGGTCAAGAAATATATCAAGCGTTCGTATTTACATCATTTTTAACATACTCGTAACTTATATTCTTTTAGGCCACTAACTCTGTCGGAAAGCTTAGCGAAGTACGCCCAGAAAATCGATTTCAGTAGAGCTCTAAGCGAAATAAATGTAAAGAAGGAATCGGGGGACAATTCGGATGATTCCAAATCGGATGGCGACAGTAAAGATGCGTTTCAATCGAATCTGTGGCCATGGGATTCAATTCGGAATAAGTTACGCAACGCCTATCAGGAGGTGTGCGTTTTAAGTGATGTTTTAACAATTGCGAAGGAGAAGCGATACATGGTGCTGGATCCCGTCCAACAGGAGCCGATTGAAACTAAACCAATGGTGCAGATTTACGCCCGGAAAAAGGCACTAACAGGGGCTGCCAGTGTGTTACTAACGGGTAGGTGTACTCGTGTAATTATCCCTTGAGCAACGGGTTAAATTACAGGTGCTGAACGGTTGAAAACCTCACAAAATGAGCTGTTACGAAATCGGTCAACTCCCGACTTTCACATTGAATTACTGAGGCTAAGACAAAATTGGAGGCTGAAAAAGGTTTCGAACTCGATTATTGGTGATCTCAGTTATCGTACGGCGGGCTCAAAATACGCACAGAGTGGCATGTTTGAGGTAACAAAAGCCGAGGAGGAAGAGAAAAGCAGTAGCCCTCCCAGCAGTCCTATGCCGGTTCCTGCACCTGCGAAAAGTAATTCTTCGCTACGAGTTACAGTCCCTTCAGAGTTGCAAGGTGTCGCCTATATAGAAGTATTATGTCAGAAAGGTTGTGTCCGTTTGCGAAATTTGCAAATGTTTATTTAAAACTTTTAGATCAAGAGGATCTCTGCAGTGCTAACATTAATTTGTTAAACTCCGCACCGACGACTGCTAATCCCGATGTACACTGGCAGCAGAAATTGGAAGCGGCTCAGAATGTTTTGTTTTGCAAGGAGCTGTTTAATCAGTTGGCGAAGGAAGCTGTACAGCTTCAAGCGCCCATCCCTCACATGGTTGTAGGAAATCAAATTATGGCAACTGTATGACTCCTTAAATTCATGGGGTCTTTCACTGCTCATTATTTATACCACTATTTATTTCCAAAATTTATTTCCTTCGTTAGTCTTCTTTTTAAAAAACATTGGAAACTTTCAAGTGCACAACATCTGACAGAAATGATCGCCTTTTGTTACTGCGGAAAAAAGTCCAATTTTGACCAGCCACCTTTGTTCATTTTTAAAAAATTAATTTAAAGGCTTTAAAAACAAAAGGTGGTCAATTCGATTTTTTCCAAATCACCTCAACTGTTTTGACTGTTTAAAATAGTCATGGCAGGCTAGATTAAAATTTAAATTGTAATTTATTTTTAAATATTTAGATTTAGATTCAAGTCAGAATAAAATGTCAGAAGTTGACTATGAAGGGTGTTTTAAATATTATGATTTATGCAAGAATTTAAATAATTTCCTCTTTTAAGATCAGAAATCACAAAAAACGTTTTCTAATAAGTGTCAATCAATTTAAGAAATTACTTGATTCCAATTAAATACGATGATTTTATAATATAGCAAAATTTTCATAAAAGGAACCTAATTCCTCTGTCTGCAAATTGTCTAGACTTAATAATAATAATAATATTTCCATCCATTTCCTACCATTTGCAAATTGGATACCATCTTCAGCAGTGAAGACCCCTCGCATACATTTTTTTTACCATATTTTTATGTGCAGGTCTTGCCGGGAATCCAGCTGGTGATAGGCTTATGCCACTCGACATCATCAGAGAAGAAGTCGTCACAATTGACACCCCCACCCTCCAAAAGTGACCACGATCACGTCTTAGAGCACTCCTTACACCAACTTTTACGTGAAGTCCACCACAAGAACACTCACCATCCGTTCCCACACCCCTCATCAGCACCGCTGGGACCTTCCAAAAAACGATACCTTGCGGGACCCATGGCAGCAGATCGCTATGAACTACTCGAAATGACGCAATCCGAAACGTTACTCGAGCAAATCATTAAGCAAGCGCAACACTTCTTCATGCGCATGCGTACCGAATATGTTCTCGACACAATCGCAAAAGAAGTAAAAGATCCCCTAATCAGCTCACACTGGAATACTCTCAACAGCCCGACGCAGTCATGCGTTAAAATCAACATATCAACTCACGGGTACGACGCAGTGTGCCGTACACCTTTGGTCATTCACGTCGGCGAGAAGAGCCTCAAGTGCATCTGTCGTGACGGAAAAGTAATGCATATGAGCTATGAGCCGCAAGAACTGAGAGACTTAATTTTCTGCCACATTAACCAACACCAAATATTGGCGGTACAGGCACTCGCGAAAACAATGGGCTGGCAATTTTTGGGTAACTCAAACCATCTGGGATTGGGAGCGGTCGAGCCGTTGGGCAATGCCAGCTCTTGTCTACTCGCATCGCCGATCGGCGACCGGCTGATAGCCGTGAGATGCGAGCCGCAGTCGGGTGTTCAAGTGTCCGTGGTTCACTCGCCTAGAACCGACTTCTTTCCGAGTCGCCTCGTAACCGAAAGGAAGTGGGAACATTTGGGTGGCCAGTTTCGGGAGGTGCGGCTTGAGAAAATGGAGGGGAGGAATTTTTTGCATAAGATGGAGTTGCTCATGGCAAGCCTAACCAGTAATTCTTGAAGTATTGAATTGTGTCTGATTGTAATGTTATTTAATTGTTAGTTTTAATTATGACTAAGTGTAAGGTGTGACATTTGTGCAGCAAATTTTTAAATATTTTTGCGTTTTTCATTAGCCAAATATATTTTCCATGTCCACGAATTGCAATTTTCTAAAAGCTTCTTCTGAACAAACCCCCCTATGATTTGTTTTTGTTATCTAGAACATTCATAATATTCAAGCCCATTTTTGAAACATATTTTGGAGACTCGATTACAGTTTTGAATGGCCCCCTTCAATAAAATTTTGTACAATATGTTTTAATTTAAAATAAAACAATACTACCGACTCCTGTCTTAGTTTTCGAAATGCAATAACGAAATAGCTAAAACAGATTTTCAATTTAATAGATTATAAACACACTGTATATAATAGAATGACAGAATTAACAGAACATTTTCAAAAAACTGGCACGCATATAAATTTGGCTCACTGAGGGTGTTAGCACAGTGACAATAGCACCAATGGAATTTATAGAAAGCTTTTTTATTACATCTAATAAATGGCATTAAACAAAAAAGGAATTTATACGACTCTAAAATTAATTTTGTTTCATGTTATTAATGTGTTACTTTTGGCATACAGAAAGACGTACGTGAGCTCAATATTGAAATAACCAGTCCAGGAGATTTGAATGAGCATTTTTTTTAATTATTTCAACAGCTTTCCTGCAGAAAATGGTTTTTAAAAATGCCCATTTCAGGTTTTTCGGCTGATAATCTCAATCAAGTTTCATATAAATATCAGATCACACTTGGGAATGTTGTCAAAACTTTTTTGAGATGTATGTATTCAAAATTTTTAAGTTTAAAATTAATAGATCATCCCATTAAAAATTAAAGTTTAATTTTTGAAGAGATTAATTTAAAAAGAACTACCTATCTATGTTACCTTTTTTGCAAAAGAATTTATACTTGAACGAAGGTTTCTCACTGCTCTTCAACAGCGAGTCATGGCTGAGTTCCCTTTCACCTACAATCAGCTACAATCTAAACGAATCTGAATCGTAAGCGCATTTTTCAATAATCTCGCGGTTTCATTGATATTGCAGTTTAAACAAAAGTGCGGGCTAAATTACTAGAAACTATAAATTCCCACTAACCACGTAGACGTTATGCACACATTTACGGGTCCTGGTCAATTCTAAATAATCACCCGGTATCTTATGCTACAATGTAAAGTAAACGTGACAACGTTGCATTTAATTTTTAATGGCGTGCTAAAAGGAGCGGCAATTTTAAAGTGAAGGTTACCTTTTCGTAAAGCGAGAGAAATGTAGCTTCAATTTAAAGTAACTAATTGTACTTAGCAAAAACAATAATAAAGGGGAACTAATTAATCGAAATTAGGTGTAAATATTGAAATCGGTTGAAATTTGAGCGGATGTTGAACCGGGAGTCGGCTGTTCTTGGATCGATGGGAACAACGCCACGCGCAGGGAAGGGCACTTCCGTCAACGATCCTGCGTCGAAAACGAACGTTTATTTGTGCTCGTAAAATTTTATCAAACATCTTCGAAAGTCGCCGCTTCTATTTATTGGGTAACTAATTAAACCTAGAAAACCGTCGCTACTGCGTTGATTTTATATTATTTTGAATGTAAACCGCCGTTTTGGGTGCGAATATCGTCACTTTATGTGTCTATTCTGTTGACAAATCGGCGACATTTTGTATGCAATCGCAAATATTGGACAGCGTTTTGGCACAAATTTACGTTTATAACTCCGTTACGTTACGTCTCTCCGTTAAGCTTTTATTTATACACAAAATCTACGTTCAAATATGCAATATTACAGCGTAATGAAAAGTATGTATTTATACGCAATTCGTACAAAACTAATCAAAATGCTTCGCAAAAATCGCATAAAAATACGTATTCGCCCAAACGACCATTTTTTACGAATCTATTCTACGCTTGCAATAATACCTTCCACAGCCAGAAGATGAGCAAGGACGATAGTGATGGTGGAACACGCGTTTATGTGGGAGGTCTTCAAGACAACGTCAAGAAGGAAGACCTCGAGTCTGAGTTTGAGAAGTACGGCAAGCTCAATTCAGTTTGGGTCGCGTTCAATCCGCCCGGTTTCGCTTTCATCGAGTTTTGCAATCAGGTCGATGCCGAGACGGCTTGCGACAATTTGAATGGCACAGACATTTTGGGCTCGAAAATACGCGTCGAAATTGCACGCGGTAAGCGACGTGGCGGTTTTCGGGGGGGCCGCGGCGGCGGAGGTAGCCGCGGAAGCAGCAGTAGTGGCTGGAGACGAGGGAGCTCGTTCGGTGGCGGAAGTAGTTACAGAGGAAGTAGCGGCGGAAGTCGGGGGCCGCCGCGTTACGATAGTTACGGGGGAGGAGGTGGTGGAGGAAGCAGCGGTCGCCGAGGCAGCCGCGATTTCGGACGAGACAGTTACAGAGGAAGTGGCGGTCGCAGTAGCTACGGAAGTAGAGGCAGCAGCGGTCGCGGTAGCAGTGGAGGATCGAGATATCGATCGCGTTCTCCTGTACAAAGACAAAGTTATTAATTATTTTATTCTTTAAGATTTGTACAAAACTTCTTACGTTCTTGTAGTTCGCTTTGTAAGATTAACGATTTTTTTATGTAGTATCTTAAGTTCTCTATTTATATAATTGACCGTTAGGTACCTATTTAATTCAGTTTTGTACTTTTATGTAAGGATGTTCTCTTAGTATTAAGTAAGCATGCATATTAATACTCTTATTTAAGTGTAACGAAATACATTATTTGTGTGTACTGTGTACCTACTTCCTTTTTGATTAAACAAGAGTTAAATGCTGTATATTATCACAATCTAGAAAATGTACTGTGTATTAGTCCTTAAAGGGCTTCAATAAAAACCAAATTGGAAGTAAGCCCATTATATTCTTGATCGACTACTTTAGGATGGACCAAAATTAATTGCCTATGGATTGAATACCAAAAGCCAGGGACATATGTGATATGAATGAGTATGCAATTTGTATCATATGAGATCAATAGAAGGGCCTCTACAATTAAGAGGTGCAGTGAACAAACTAGCACAAAATATAGTATACCTAAACTATAGCCTTGCCTCTAAAATTCATGGAAAGTATCAACTATCAAGCCACGCTGATTCTTTACAAAACGGCCCTCTTTTGTTATAGACATTTTGGCGCGGTTTGAATTCAAAGATGAACTAGTTTAATTTTTTATTATTTACCTAAATCAAGCAGCTTAAGAAGCAGTCAAAGTGAAATCAATGTAATCGGCCAAAAAACAGGATAGTAAAGACAAAGACCTAGGTTAACCATGTATAGACAAATATGTGCAAATAGTATAACAATAAATTAAAATTACTGAAACCTAGAACAATTATAAAACACTTAAAAAGTACCAGCATTGTATATTTGTACCAGTAATGATGAAGTAAACATAAGGAAGGAAATTAGTCGACCATTATAGTGCAAAACATCTACAAAGAATATAAGAAACGAAAGACCTGGAACGACCAGGTTACACAATTATTGAAGAAGAAAGGAGTAGATGTACTTGGACAGAAACAAGTGAAAAAGTAAATAAAACAAATGAACAAACTTTATGCATCAATAAAAATATAATAGGTACACCTTATTATGACCTTATAGGTATACGATCGAAAGATTATGATTATAACAATCTAATGCAAATTAGTCATAAATTCTTTAAAAAAACCACAATGGAAAATCGAAATAGTAAAACTAGGATAGGTCATAAAAAGTTCCTATCACGTGACCTTGTACTAACCACAGCCAAGGTTGAAGGTTAGAAAAATGAATATCACCAGGCAGACATTCCATTTACTTCAAGAAGTTATCAGTGTCAGTCGTAAACGCTTTCTACAGACTTCAACCTGCCTTAAAATGCCGATTAAAGTGGGTTTTAATAAAAATAATCGCTTATATAATTAACTTTGAGGTTACAGGAGGGAGATTCGTTGCCCAACATTGATCTCTTCGAAGAGTCGCCTGCCAATAAAGTTAACCTAAATGAGCTCTCCTCGGGCAAAAAAATTATCATCTTCGCTGTCCCCGGCGCCTTCACTCCGGGCTGCTCAAAGGTAAACCACCGGCTTCATTCAACAATTTCACCACGAATTTTTTGCAGACTCATTTACCCGGTTATGTGAAAAAGGCCGAAGAGTTGAGGTCTCAAGGTATCGCCGAGATCATTTGCGTCTCCGTGAACGATCCGTTCGTGATGTCCGCGTGGGGTAAGGAGCACAACGTGGGCGGTAAAGTGCGTATGCTGGCCGACACTGGGGCGACATTTACAAAGTCGCTCGATCTCGGGCAAGATCTGGCCCCGCTTGGCGGTTATCGTAGCAAACGATATTCGATGGTGGTCGAAAATGGTAAAGTTCAGTCTTTGCAAGTCGAACCTGACGGTACCGGATTATCGTGCTCATTGGTTGAAGCTATCAAATTGTAAAATGTTGTCAAAGTGTAAAATAAATATGTAGAATTAATTTGTTTACTATGAAACTTTGTTTAAATTATTACAGCCAGCTGAGAACTGTAATTTGGTAGTTTATTTTAACTAACAGTCCTAACTTAGTAGCAGTAAGTACTAGCTTTGTTTATTCATTTATAAACAAAGGTACTAGTATACCTTTTACTTGTGGAGTATCTACAATATAATAGTTGGAATCGTTACTGTTGCTAGTGACCGAATGTTTTCAGGTCACTTCCTGTCTTCACCATTTCCTAATCCTAATAGCCCCCTCAGTAAGAAACAAATAAGGCCTTTGCCCTACAAAAAGTGGTGTAGTAGTAATTTTTAGGGCATTTTTGGAAAAAAATACGCTATTAGTTATGGCTGGCTGTCCGGCTGAAATCTCAGCAATTATAATAGCTAGAGACTTTAAATTTTCACTGAAAGCTTTCTGCTATAGTGTAGATATGCAGGCTCTAGTCTATTTTGAGTTAGATTACTTGTGAGATCGCTAATTTAAGAAAATAATTTCGATATGGTTTTCGGAGGTACTATAATTTTTCCGTTAGATAGCGCTACCAGTATAACAACAAGAACAACAATTATTATAGTTCGTTTCACCAATAATTTAACATTTCTCATTAGGACGTTAAGTAGCGGGAATTCCCACTGCGACATTTAAAACAATAGGACAATAGCCCCATTTAACTAAAAGTCAGCGGTTCTCAATAAAATTTTAATGGTTCAAACTCCAAATTGTAATTGGGGAAACTACTTGGAATGTGTCTACCTATTTAATTAATACATTAATATGGTATCAACACGATTATTGTCGTTAATGTCCTATCGACGCATTCCTTAAGGAACTACATTTTAAATATATCGATTATTAAGGAAATGGGCCGATTTATACGAGCACCGCAATTTGGCGTTTGAAACATTAAAATTTTATTGAGAACCGCTGACTTTTAGTTAAATAGGGACTATTGTTTTAAATGCCGCAGTGGGAATTCCCGCTACTTAACGACCTAATGAGAAGTGTTAAATTATTGGTGAAACGAACTATAGCGCATTTTTGAAAAAAAATTATATTCGTTGTTATAGCTGGCTGGCTATCTAGCTGAGATCTCAGCAATTGCAATTGCTAGACACTTTAAATTTTCACTAAAAGCTTTCTGTTATAGTGTACATGTGCAGGCTCTAGTATATTTTGAGTTAGACCACTCGTGAGATCGATAACTTTAAACTTTGCTAATGAATACTGATCTGCATTACCAAAAATACGCTTTCATCATGCATATGCTGATTTACAACTTGTTTAATATGTTGTTAAAGTCTGGGCCTTGGAAAAATAGTTATTTATTATAGAAGACGATAAAGCTATTTAACCATTGAGTGAAAGTGGTTAGTTTCGCTTTATCGTCGTGTATAATACAAAACTTTATTTTATAGCAGAAGCCATATAAATCATTGCAAAGCTTCTGGCAATACTCAATTTAATTTAGAGACGTCAAAAATAAAAAGCTTAGGGGCCAATTGCACCGTTAAAATTAAGTATTCCTTAAAGCAAAAATAATACTACACTAGATAGACACCGTAAATAGGCAAGTTGATAAACCGCTTATTTAGTTCCGTAAAGAAGATATAGGGGGCTTTTGCAATTAAGCCCATCATCGGAAGCCGTAATCGTACGTATTCGACACACGAGCTACATTATATTATCTCTTCCTTGACCTCACAGTTACGAATTCAACAAATTCAATGCATGTTTTTCCGTCTAAGTTGTAAGCAAAGATTTGTAAGTAAGCAACCACCCTTTGTATAATATGTATAATATATACAGGGTGTAACATCCCCCTCGGATCGTATAATGCCTTTACCATAAAAGATGTCGGAAAAAATGGAGGAACAAAAATGTTTCTAAAATATTTCTGGTCACCAGTGGCGTGCTGTATTTCACTAGCGTATCAAACATCCGTTTTTTTTTAATGGAACACCCCATATTTTATTGAGAAATTCAAAAGTACTGTAGAGTACTTTTTTATGTTTAATGTAACATAGTATACCCTTAAGTTAAGGGTATACTATGTTACATTAAAAATAAAAAAGTACTTAACTTTACCCATTTCGCTATTATAACCTTTTCTTCTCAAAATTTGACCGTGTTTCGAATTTATATTTTCCAGAAAAACTAAATCACGCCGGCGCTTAAATTTTGAATTCAGGCACATACCTGGTGAATATTTCAAAACCGAACATAAACAATTAACATTTTAACAAATTAAAATGTTTTTTGTAGATTGTTGCTCCACTGCTCCACATGTAGGTTAATTTCCGACTTCCGAGGGTTTATGATGACCCCATGCAATCGAAAGAAGATTTTTTTTCTCATCTAATGATATGCGAATTCGTTCATTTGTAGGTGTATTTCTCATAATTTCATAAAAAGAAAGTAAAAAATTAGCAATTAGCAAAATCATGTTAAGCCATGACTCAATTGGAAATTTTCTAAAGAATTGAATAACATGTGAATCTGCTTTTTGTCTTAAATCATAGCTTACATGATTTTGGTAATTGCATTTATTTCCAAATTTTTGATGAAATAATGGGAAATGCAACCGAAAATTAACTAATTCGTATGTGATTAGATGAGAAAACAATAATTCTTTCGATTAGGTGTCACGTGTCATTATAAGTCCTTTAAGTTAACATGGGGCATACAATCTACAAAAAAAAATTTTCCCATGTTAATTGCCTATATGTATGTTCGGGTCGAATTTTTAAAATAACGGCATCGAATTTTTTTTTAATAACTTATTTTTGTTAAAGTCTTCCAAAGACCTTCTGACCAAAATGTCACATATGCTATAAAATAATAATATAATATTAAGTGACAAGTGTATAATCAAGTCTTTAATGCACGCGCAACGAGTTTAAAGGCACGACGCGAAGCGGAGTGCAAAGTCATATTTGAAGTATCATTACTTAGCAACTTTAAGGCACGTGTGTTTTAAAGGCCTTATTTCGCACGCATTTGAGTGTTTAAAACGGAGATTGTGATGCAGGTATAATAAAAAAACCTTTTTTTTCGATCTTCGTTTTGAGACGCGCCGCCATCTTGGAGAAAGGTACAGAAAATCGGTTTTTTTGAAAATAACTCCGCAGCGATTGAGCTTACGAAAAATAGTTCAAATAAACTTTTTTTTTTCGAATGATTTTGATCGGGTTGACATTAGTCTTTAATGAGAAGTTAAGTGAGGACGAAGCGCTTATGTTTTTGTATCCTAGAAGAAAGAAGATTCGCCGCTACAATTGTTGGGTAGATCCATCCATAACGAATAGGTAGGAACAGGAACAGCTTTCATTTGTATCCGTGAACATGCCAATCATGAACAAAAATGTAAACTATGTAATGTATGTTCAAAAGTAGTCTATAGCGCATTTTTTTAAGAGTTAAAAAAATGTACTACCTATTGTTTGCGTTCTGTCCGTTAGTCCGTCCGTCCGGACCCACTTCTGCCGTTTTGAACTATAATTCTAGGGGAATGGTCTTGGAATGTTTGCCTTTTGCAATAGGTAGCCTATACTTGCTTATACCTCGAAGGTGTGCCAGGCGGCCATCAAATTTCGCTGTCTGAACGGGGGGGGGGGGGGGGGGGATTAATTATTTCCTTAGATGCTGTTTTTGAATGTGCATAACTTTTACATACGACAACCAATTGGTTTCAGATTTTGTATACGTATGCGTTGAATAGTGCCAAGTAAAACTTCTGAAAATTGAGGAGGGGGGGCAGACTCTCTTTCGACATCAGCGCATGATGAGGCCGGAGAGGAGAGGTGTTAGAAATTAATTGTATCTTTCATGATATTCTAATTATCTCAACGAAAGGAACCGTTTTTTACCAACTACCGCCCTTTTTTCTGATCCCTTATCAAAAGAGGGGGTTGGGGGGAGAAGGGGGTGGACCTGTTTTTATCGTTCATGGTACTCTAATGAAAGATCTGAACAAAAGGAATTAATTTCTACCATCCGTAGTCCTCCTCCTCGGCACCTTATCGTGATCGGATATATTCCCTTATATCTCCAGAACGGATTGCCAAAAGAGGGTATTCACAAGGGCGATTGGGACGTCTGGAAGAAATACATCCATTGGTGGTCAAAACTTTAAGAGCGAATATCTCGAAGGAAAGTTGAATAACGAAATGGTAAATAGGTGTAATGATAAAAAGAAATGTAATTTAACATGGCAAAAGCAACATGACACTAACATTCGAAATGTGATTCGAAATTCTTAAGGGGTGGTTATTTGATTTTTCCATCAACACACAGTAGGGGCCGAACTTTGTTTATCATGGCAACAAATCGTAACTTTGCTTGACACTTGACAGTTTTTAAAAGATTCGATAGAAAGTTGGTATGGAAAAATAGTGAGAAATTCTAAATGTCATACATGTCGCGATGTTTTCATCCCAAAAAGAAACCGTTGAGCATGTGGAAAAATCAGTAAGCAGGGCGGACATGTTTACAAGTCAGTTAATTCTGGAATTTCAGGAACGCCCCTTCCAATACGGAATGCCGGGAACTGTTTCAGAACCTTACAACCATAATCTACCATCTAAAGATGGACGTAAGAAATTAGCCGGAGTTGCGCAGTGCCCAATTTATATCCACGATTTCAAGCAAAATACGCGAGGCGCTTCAAATAGCTACACGGAAAATGACTGGAAGACAGGAAGTGAAATTCATCAAAGCAGATACAGGCACGAATGCAACGATGTTAATACCAAACGATGCATGCATGGACACTCATCGAAAAATTGCACGCACAGACTTGGCAAAGTACACTACGGAGCGAAAGTCGACAAATCATTCCTTTTTAAACTGGAGCACAAAGCCGTAGCTGATAAACTGGAAGAAACTTACTGGGCCCAATGGAAACCGAACAAATCTCCTTCTTCACCCAAAACAAAAGGATTGTACACCGAAAACGAAAAGGTATGCTTCCCTGACGATGATGACGTTAGCGAAAATAAGGAAAGAGGGGATTCCAGCGAGGCCATCGTAGCAACTCCACTTTCCGAAGTGGAAAGCGTCCCGAGCGGAAGCACCATGGAAGTTACCGAGGAAAAACAGAACCCCGAATTGCAAATTGAACCGGTCATCGAAATGGACACGATCTCTTTATCGCCACGTTCAAATTCGGCCACCGAAGTACCGACAATCAAACACACGGACTCCCTAATACTGATCGCCAGAAAGCAAAGCGTCGAGAAACCTCATTATCAGCAGCCGAAGTGCATCAAGCTATTTAAAAATGCCGGCTACGTGTCTACGGCGTCTATCAATTACATTAAAGGAGGAAGTTACCCATTGAAGTCGTGCTTGCGAAAGGAGAGTGCCAGTTTTAAGACGTCGTCCGCGTTGGGGGTTAGAAGCTCGCTTAGTCGCAGGCCACCAGCGGGAAAGGCCGGCAGATTTCTACACTAATTCTATGCCTACGGTTGATTCTTGTCATGAATAAATTTTTCTTGGTCACGTCTCGGTTCTGTTCTGCTCAGTACTGGACTGATTTTGAAATTATACAGGGTGGGCCATTGGTGTGTGGATGGAAGATTGTGGTTTTATTAACGCACATATTTAAAATTCATTGGCGGGGCATGCCTAAAAATATTTTCAACCAAATTGCAATTGTTATACAGGGTGATTTATATCAAAGTATTATTACATATTTTGATTCCTTGGTCAATTTTAGTGTGACTTTATACAGGGTGGTGACTTGCGTAATTATATTAGAGCAAAAATGTATTCAGGTTTTTTGTAGAAAAATTTTTTTTACGTCAATCTACCGTATTAATTTTCAATTTCTTTCATATAAAGACGGAAAATTGGAAAAATAAAGCCCGCATCTTTTTCAATAATCTGCGATGCCATGGAATTTTCTAAAACAAAAAGATATCCATTATCAATTAGCAGCAGTTCGAAATGGATTTTATGATCCACTTGGTTACTGTCTTGCAGTTAATGGTGACTTATTGGCACATTTATTGTAAATTATTATGTTAGGAAACCGTTTTTAGTAATTTGGTCTTTCTTTATGTTGAATTTGTTGTTCTAAATATAATACTTTTTGACAGAATTTGATTTGTTTTATAGCAGACATTCCATGGCATGACGGATATTGGCGTAGTTTTTGTATTATAAACTTCCATGGCATCACAGATTATTGAAAAAGATGGGGGTTTTATTTTTTCAATTTTCCGTCTTTATTATGCAAAAAATTGACAACTAATACGGTTGATTGATGTCAAAAAATTTTTCTACAAAAAACCTATGATGCGTTACGCAAGTCACCACCCTGGATATTAGGTACACATTGATATCTAAAATGAGTCGTTTAGCCACAATTCGTCGATTTTTCAAAAAGTAGATGTTCAGTAAAAATTGAATAGGTATCGCAGTTGTCATTAAACTGAGAAGGCCGTGACTCGGTAGTATTACTAATCATGAAATGTACTAACATACCCCGAACGCCTAAAAGTTAAACTCATTTTGTGTTAAAAGAAATCACTCCGTCAATTTTCAAAGTTTCAATCAAAGAAGTTTTTTTTATTGCATGAAACGTATCTCTTGCCTATTTTTTGTATTTCAGTGATTTAGTTCATTGGCATTTACAATTCTGTTGTTCATTGTTGGTTAGTTAAGTTAATTTGTTATAAAAATGGAATTTGAATAACCTATTTTAAACGGTGCTCTTTACTATAAGTACTCAATTGTTTGCTCTTCTGCAAAATGTTCTGGTACACATCGTAGAAGAAATGTGGTTTCAGCACGACGGTGCCCTACCTCATTTTGCTATAAACGATCAAGAATGGCTGAATCAATCATTTCCTGGGAGGTGGATAGGTCGACGAGGTCCTATAAATTGACCAGACCGTTCTCCTGACCTTACACCACTTGACTTCTTCTGATGGGGATACGTGAAGTCCCAACAACAAAAGAGAATATGAAAATGCGCAATCGTAATGCTTTCTCATCCATAACGCCAGCTGCGTTTCGTCGTGTCAAAGAATGATTTTCTAAATCCATCGACAAATGGTTGGTCTTGAATATTTATTGAAATAATTGTTATTTTTCTCTTTATTTTAATTTTTATTTTGATTTTTATCGTTTTTGTTTTGTTTTATTTGAAGGACGTTTTTTTATAATTTCAATTGTTTATAATTTTTAATGGCCTACTAATTACTGAGAGGCTTTGAAACTCGAAAAACACTGCGAATTATTAGAAATTGTTGAATTACAAAAAATATGTAAAAGATAAATAGGTACCGTCATACCATGCTTATGCTTATATCGTTACCGTTAGAAAGGTAGGTAATAAATTCCTACATTTCATGCAATAAAAAACTTACTACTGTAGTTCCATTTAAAAAAATCAAGTTACCTTTGATTGAAATTTTGAAAATTGACGGAACGATTTCTTTTAACACAATAGAAGTTTAACTTATTATACGTTCGGCGTATGTTAGTACATTATTTCATGATTAGTGCCACTGCAAAGTCACGGCTTTCTAATTTTTATGATAAAAACCTGCGATATTCAATTTTTACTGGACATCTACTTTTTGAAAAAACGGCTAAACGACTCATTTTAGATATCATGTGTAATACATAAAGTCCAACGAAAATTGACCAAGGAATCTAAATAACATAATTGCAATTTCGTTGAAAATATTTTTAGGTTGTAGCCTTAAGGGTCCTTCCACATGCCCGGACAATACATTTTAAATATGGGCGTTAATAAACCCACAATATTCCACGTCCACCCACACACTAATAGCCCACCCTGTATATATTATGGGAACTTTAAAAAAAAATCGATCTCGCTGCTCTAACTTTGGCTGCACTAGTCTGGTAGGGATTCTGTATTGAATCTACAGGTGGAAAATGTCCAACACGGTTGAAATGCCGTAAAACCCCAAAATATGTAGTGATCAAGTAAGAGGAACGTTGTATGGTATATTTCCTTATGGACAAGGATGAAAAAAGTGAGTTGTGCACTCGTTAACTTCTAGCACTATTCTCTTTGTAAACACTTAGTGCTGGTCACGTGGATGTATATAATTCACTATTATTATGTCTCGGGATAGTCATTACACTCTCAAACCTTTGATTAATCAGTTAGTAACTGTCACTGCCATCAAAATTTCTGTCTCTGTCAATCCAAGTTATGCGCAATGAAGTTCCCACTATTTCGACGCCTTTGCAAACCAAATCTAATTGTACGCACCAAATCCAATCCGTCACGATGTCCGCCCGATCCCGCACCGACAGTTGTCACATTAATCGGGGCCAGCTCAAGAGTCGGCCAACTTACCGCCCTCCAACTGAAACAGTGCAACCTACTCGACGAACTGAGGCTGTTCGAATTTGCAAAAAGTGGACTGTCCGGAGTGGCGTTAGATTTGAATCACATTCCGACAAGTGTCAACGTGGTCTCGTATACGGGATTGGACTTGCTTCGAAACGCCGTTGTGGTAGGTTGTTTCTTGGTGGTGTGGCTGCTGTGTCGCCTGAATTGTAGGGTGCCCAAGTTGTCGTGATTTGTGGAGGCGAACCCAAAAAACCGGGGATAAGGGAGTACGATCTGTTTTTGGGAAATGCCGATTATGTTCGTAGCGTGGCCTTGCATACGGCCGAGTTTAATCCTAATGCAATTCTTTGTATTACCACTCCGCCGGTTACTGCCATGGTACCTTTGGTGTCTGAAGTAAGATTGCTTTGTAAAACATTTCGGTTAAGAGTCGGTTTTAGGAGTACAAAAGAGCCGAAGTTTATAATCCTAAAAAGATTTTGGGCGTCACGACGTTAGGGGTCACTAGGGCTAACAGTGTCATTGCAGCTTATTCCGAGCAAGACCCCAGTACTGTGTTGTGTCCTGTGGTGGGTGGAATGGGAGCCACAACGTTGGTGCCAGTGCTGTCGCAAACTGAAACAGGCCCCAAGCTGCCACAAGTAGCTAATGTGGTAATTTTGGGCATTATTTGAGCGATACGTGTTGCAGCCAGCCGTAGAACTTCTTCATAACCAAATTTGTAAATCAGAAGACGAAGTGCTGACCTTAAAATACTTGGAAAATTCGAGTTCGTGTGTACTGTCATCCTCGTTCGCAACAACAAGGTTCGTAACGTCAGTTCTGCAAGGGTTGAAGAATAAGTTTACTGGATACGAATTTGCCTTTGTTAGACAAACGGGACATATTGAACCTTTTCTCAGCTACATGATGTCTGTAATAAAATTAGGTGAGTTGTTGAGTACGCGACAAATACGCGAATAACGACAAACGTTGTAGACAATCAGGGCGTACAGTCCCTTCACATGCCCAACCTCAACGAATTGGAAGCCAAAAAATTGCTAAACGCCGCAGAAGTGATCCGTCAGCAAATCCATTGGGGAGCGAGCTTTGTAACGGGCGCGTCGTTTGAAAAAAGGAAACGCCCGAAAAGGATAGTGCAGGATTGCGCAATTATTAAGATCGATCGGCAGTCTCGGATTGGCGATTTGTGTGCCAAAAGTTGTTAGTGGAAAGTGAAATAAATAATGGCTTTGGGTTATCTGTGTGTTGCTATTTTTTACCACCCGCACGTTAGTAAGTGGGGTAAAAAATGACCCCCCCCCCACATTTTTTACGGAAGTATACATTTTGAAGCACCAGGAATTAGAATTAAACAAAATCTCGATGACACAAATAAGTAATAAAGCTCCCGACCATTTTCACATAGTCTGGAGACTTGTACCGTGTCAGGACCTCAAAACGTTTAATTTTCTAAAGTCACTAAATATTTTTTTTTTCAAATTTCGAAAATTATAAAGTCACTAGATATAGTATATATATTACACGCGTTTTTTTTTTTACGCAGACGAACCTTTAATAATAATAATAATAATTTTTTACAAAATTTAAAAAAAAAATTTTTTTAGATTACATTTTCACATAGTCTAATATATAAATATAATAGTCTGTCAAAAAAAACGCGTGTAATATATATACATACTATATCTAGTGACTTTATAATTCTCAAAATTTGAAGGATTATTAGTTTTCGAGTAATTAAAAAAAATTTTTTTTTTAATTTTGTAAAAAATTATTATTATTATTATTAAAGGTTCGTCTGCGTCAAAAAAAAACGCGTGTAATATATATACTATATCTAGTGACTTTATAATTTTCGAAATTTGAAGGACCCCTAGCTTAGTAGTACACAAAGGTCTTGGTGCTTCACCCTGTTTATCTAACTGAAAAGTTTAAAACAGTTGACAAAAAATTTAATGTTTTGGAATTGAAAACATTGGCAGTCCAGATGTTTTGGATAAAGTCGTCATTTGTTTCTCAAGTCCCTGTTGATTATCTTTCGAAACGGTATTTAATGGAGTTATTTTCTGTCGGTCTGTATACGCTAATTTGCAGATTTAGATAAATCATGAAATGAATACCTCCGAGCATGGTATCGTTGAGTCAAAGATCTTTGGTTGAGTGAAAGAATCACAACGATGGTATAGTATTACTTAATAATTCATGTAAATCGCGCATATCAAAATATAATTTCTATACACGGTGTCCATTTTTTCGAGTGCTACTATCGGGATCTCGCTTATTTTAACAAATAGAAATTTGGTTAAATGAGCGTAAAGTTGTGAATTTTCGGGCTGCATAATAGTCTGAAAAGAAATTTAAAATATCTTCAATAGTTTCGAAAATATCGCAAAAAACGAAAATTTCGGATATTCCTTTTTAATTTGTTCATGGTAAACTAATCGTATTAGCCATTATTCAGACACTTTTTAATGGAGATTTCGAATATGGCATCCCGTTTTTAATAACTTTTAAGATGATGGAGGAACAGGTGGCAACTTTAGTTTTTCTTATGGGCGCCGTTTTGGATTTTGACATTTTGAGATTACGTCTTTTTTTCTCTTTACAACGATATATCACACAGGGTGATTCAGTATCACATTTATCCTAAAAATACAATTTTTATTTTCTGCGAAGAGTGCTTTGCAAAAAAAACGTTCTTTTGTTGTGAACAAAAGGTTGACTTATTTCAAATAGTGTCATTTGCGTTTGTGCTAGTTTTATTGCGAAAATATTATTTATTCTTATGTATTTTATTCTAATTTGAATTATAATTTTCTTGCAAAACAAAGATTCAATTCAATCAATTTTCTGAACACTATAGGTCCTTGCCAACGCTGTAGCTAAACAGATGGATCAAACTGTCAAACTGTTGTTCACAATAAAAGAACGTTTTGTTTTTCCACAGCACTCTTCCCAAAAAATTGTGTATTTTTACGATTAGTTTATCATCGAAAATCCGAAAGTTTCATTTTTTTGCGATATTTTCAAAACGATTGGTGATATTTTAAATTTCTTTTCAGATTGTTATTCAGCACGAAAACTCGCAACTTTGCCCTAATTTAACCAAAAGCGAGATCCCTATAGTGGCACTAGAAAAATGATACACTTCTCCGGAAGGTATTCTGCTTACTCTCCGTTACATTCTTTTGCGCCTGTACGACGCATCCCTTGTGACAACTGTAGCGTTTGTAAAGCATATCTCCAAGGTGTTAAAGCTGAGAAAGCTTTGAATTATTAATAAATCAAATTGCGTTTTGTAATGACTATAAATTCAAAAAGAAAACAATGTGGACTTCTGAATTTAGGAATATTTATTTCACCACTGTTAAAATATTCATCAGTCGTTGAGTAAGATCAAAGAGTAGGTAACTTATAAATATAATCCGTGAATTTCGAAATGAAAAGAAGGCAAAAACCAAAACGACGTCTGTTGTCAGTTTTGGCATTTGTAGATAATTATCACTAGCACTAGCACTAGCAGAGCAAGGTCAGCAGAACACAATCAAAGATATTGCATAATTAGATGCTAATTAGGTACTAATTAAGTGCCCTATTCCCGAATTAAATGCACCTTTTTTTATTTTAAAATTATTACACGTTTTGCCAGGTTCATATGAACTCAGCAGAACACCCTCAAAAAACCAAGAAAATGAAAAGTGAGCTAACTATAATTAGGTGCTAATTAGGTGCTAATTAAGTGCCCTCTCCCCAAATTAAATGCTCCTTTTTTTTAATTATTATCTACATGTTCTTGTCAGGTTCATATGAACTCAGCAGAACACGACCTTTAAAACCCAAGAAAATGAAAAGTGAACCAACTATAATTAGGTGCTAATTAGGTGTTAATTATGTGCCCTATTCCCGAATTAAATGCTCCTTTTTTTTTTAATTATGACATGTTCTGCCAGGTTCATGTGAACGCAGCACAGCACTACCTTAAAAACCCAAAAAAATGAAATGTGAACTAACTACTATTAGGTGCTAATTAGGTGTTCTATTCCCGAATTAAATGCCCCTATTTTTAAATTATGAACCTGGCAGAACATGTAATAATTAAAAAAAAGAGCATTAAATTCGGGAATAGGGCACTTAATTAGCACCTAGTTATGCAATATGTTTGATTGTGTTCTGCTGACCTTGCTCTGCTAGGTTCATGGACATCATTTCAGGGAGGTTGTAGAAAAAATACGTAACAGATATTAAAAACTTTTGCCGTGTTAAATTACGTTACTCATTAACTACAACCGTATACCATTCAATTCTTGCATGACTTCTTTAATTATTTAACCACAGATCTCATCAGGTTATGGGCCCAGTATTACCCAAAGTTATTTTTGTTGGAACTTCGTTGTGAACGAACGTATGAGTAGTTTTAGTAGGAGAACTATCGTCTGGGTTATTTGTCATGGAACTTTCGCGAGTTTCGATAGATAAATTTGAGCGACATTCCAATTGGGTTGAGTGTAAATTCCAAGTCAAAATTCAGATAAATGTAAATGGCCGTATGGACATAGTGGAAGGTTCTGAAGAGCCGACTACAGATGCAACGCCCAAGCGGATCGTATGATAACGAAAAGGAAGCCTTCAAGAAACTTGAACTTATAGCTCAAAATATTGTCTGGAGTGTGTCAACTCGGGTAAGTCAGTTGATAAATATGCCTACGACTGGCAAGGAAATATGAGACAAAATGTATTCAGTTTATGAGCAGAGACCAGAGCAAAGGCAAGATCACCTTTCTAATCAGCTTTTTAGTACAAGAGTCGTCTAATTCGAGAACGAAAAGAAACAGCGATGTCAAACCTTCGCCAATCGATTTCTACGAGTTCAAGGATCAGTGCTATTGAATATGAGCCGGATCAAAAGTCTGCTTTCCGAATACGAACTGACTGGCAAAAAATTCCCCTATTGAAAATCGTATGCGATTCTTCGTATCTTTCTTCGGGAGAACTATTAAATCTTATGATCCTAGATAATTATCAATATCAATAATTCAATTATCAATAATTAGAAAAAGGAAGTCAGCCTATACTCTGCTGTCTTAGAATGTCGGAACGCGGTCGTTTCCGGAATACGAAAAAAAGCTATTGGTTATTTATGACGAAATAACAACATGTACACAGTATTACGCATAAGGTATTGGAAATTTTAATGCAAATGACACACTGCATAGATTTACATTTTCATCTACCCGCGACTTAAATTTATAGATCTCCAGTACAATTTTAACACCTAACAAAACTCATGAATCACGCTTGTTGACTTAGGTACCCCAACAATCACTTATAGACTTTTAAAAACATGTACGCGCGTACATAAAACAACAAAGAAACGCGTTATAAATAGGGTGGAAAAGTTTAGTACAATAGGTACACGTATTCGATTTTAGAAATACACAAAACCCAGCTGCATTACATTGAATGGCGTTAAGGGTGGTTGACTATCAGATGTCAACAATTCGGTAAATAACATTTAATCCGTGTAATTGGACCATCTGTTTGCGCCCCAAACGCGTCGTTTCCGATGTGCGTAAAGGCTATCGCCCTTTCGTTACATTAAGAAAACATCAATCACGTGAAGTAAAACCGAACTGCATCGCCTTGGGTAGTCTTATAATTCCAATAAGTAACTGATTAGGTCAAGTGTTAATGGTAAATGAAATTAAAAGGAAGATTCTTTTCTCTACTCTCAAAACATTCGTTTAGTAGATGTCTAAGGAATATTGATATAAATAACATCATTAATTTAAAACGATTTTAGTGATCATGCCACATTCCGTTATGTAGGTACTGAAAATGTGAACCAGAACCAAAACGCAATTTTCAGTGCAGAGATTTACCAGTTTGCAAAAATTGCAAGTTTCCGCTATCCAATATGGAAATTAAAGTGGGATTTTCCTAAGTTTTTTATTGATTTCATGTTATCTGTCAATCGAAAACTACCGTTTTCATTATTTTCTCGCGTTTTGATACATTAGCCGATAAAAAATCCGCTAGTTATAAAAACATAGCTTCCGTAGGTCTCACTCCGATATTCCGCGAAAAAAATTGTATAACCCAAACATGCCATCGCGTTTACCAAGAAAAAGTATTTTTTATTTTGAACTTTTACCACTTTTACCAATCGCAATAGTAAGGGAGATGAGTTGTTACTTTAGTAATATAAGAATTCATATAAGT